TTAGCAGCAGATGCTGYCAGGGCTCCCAGTACTGAAAGTACACAGCCAAATCAAATACTCGATGCCAAGTACCAGCGAGTAACTCCAGAAGAGGTTACAAACCATCAGGAGCATATGGACAGTTCAGAAAGACTAGCATTCAAGGAGATGTTAGCCAAACACACAGAGTTGTTTGACGGCAAACTAGGTCGCTATCCTCACGAGAAGATCCACATCGATCTAGAGGATGATGCCAAACCAGTATACATAAGACCGTATCCAGTTCCCTACAGACACAGAGATGTCYTTAAACGGGAATGCCAGCATCTGGTTGATGAAGGAGTGATTGCTCCCACTGGCAATTCAGAATGGGGCTTCCCAGCCTTTATCATTCCAAAGAAGGATGGACGAGTAAGATGGCTTGTCGATCTTAGAGAACTAAACAAGAGGATCAAACGTCCCAAGTTTAATCTTCCCAAGATTCAGGACATCTTGAATCRAAGAACACGATATGATCATTTCACTAAGATTGATCTTTCAATGATGTTCTATTGCTTTGAATTGGATGAAGAAAGCCAAAAGATTTGCACTCTTACTACAACACACGGCAACTACAGGTGCTTAAGATTACCTATGGGACTCAAGTCATCTCCCGACTATGCTCAAGCCTTCATCACAAGGATCCTATATGGCTTAGATGTTGAAGTATACATTGATGACATGGGAATCTGGTCTCGTGGACCCTTCACTCAACACCTTTCTTTGKTTGACCCAGTCTTGGAAAGATTGGCCTCCAATGGAATGAAATGCAATCCACTCAAGTGTGAGTGGGCAGTCAAAGAATCTGACTTCCTTGGCTATTGGCTCACCCCTACAGGAGTCAAGCCTTGGCGAAGAAAAATAKATGGGATCCTCAAGATGGGAATTCCCCAGAACCAATCACAGGTCCGGTCCTTCCTGGGTGCAGTGAACTATTACAAATCAATGTGGCCTCGCCGCTCACACGTACTGGCCCCACTAACAGCCCTCACTGGCTCAGGACCTTACATCTGGACCCCAGATTGTAATCAAGCCTTTCAAGAGATGAAAGCTCTCCTAGCACACGATGCTATTAACACCTTTGCTGATTTGAACAAACCCTTTCATATTTACACTGATGCATCTGATTATCAGCTCGGAGCAGCAATTCTTCAGAATGAAAGACCAATTGCATATTGGTCTAAGAAACTCAACAAGACCCAAATGAACTACACCACAATGGAAAAGGAGTYCTTAGCAATCATCCTATGCCTCAAGGAGTACCAAAATATGCTCTACGGTGGAAAAATCTTCATCTACACTGACCATAAAAATCTTATATTCAGGACACTGTCCCAGTCCCGAGTTCTCAGATGGACGCTAAGCCTGGAAGGCTTCGACATTAACTGGGAATACATCCCAGGCAAGAAGAATGTTCTTGCAGACTGTTTTTCTTGAGTGCCCAGAATGGATCCGTGCACTGTCGGGGATAAGGAAAAGAAAATTTATGAGAAGAAGAAAGGAACAATGGTGAATTTCAAGGAGTTGGCAGCTCAAGTGGATCCGGAAGATGTATTCTATTTGGAACCAGAGCTATATGAGTGTTTGCTCAATTTACCACCAGTATCAGAAATGGAGAATCCAATCACAAATGCAAGCCTCTACACTTACCAACTCACGGACCCCCAATGCCAATATCTGCTTGAAACTGACCCAGAACACTACATCAAGAGAAAGATAGGCACCTTTGAACTACTCACAGTATCCACGAATGATAATAATTGGAAGATCTACTTGCCAGATGGCCTCGTAGACAAGACCCTCAGATGGTACCACCTCTTATTGGGTCACTGTGGGAGCACAAGGCTTTATGAAACTATCAGTGCTAGGTTTTATGCCCCAAGACTCAGTTTATGGTGCAAACAATACCAATGCCCAGATGAATGATGTCATAGATTCAAACAACAAGGACAAGGACATGGCTTATTACCAGCCCGAGAGGCTCAGCTTGYYCCTTGGAATGAAGTATGTGTTGACTTGATTGGCCCCTGGAAAATCCTTCTCCCGGATGAAACAGAATTAGTGATCAATGCCCTCACTTGCATTGATCCAGTCACGAACCTACTAGAAGTCATCAGAATCAACAACAAATCGAGTGAACATGTGGCAGAGCAATTTTCTAACTGTTGGTTGTCAAGATATCCTAGGCCCAACAGATGTATACACGACAATGGCTCAGAGTTCATCGGAAACCCATTCAAAGAGTTACTGAATCAATTTGGAATCAAGAGTGTTCAGACAACAGTTAAGAATCCACAAGCAAATGCAGTATGTGAAAGAGTCCATCAGACAATAGCAAATGTCTTACGAGCAACCCTTCATAGCAAGCCTCTTGAGGAATCTGATTTTGATGAAGATCAACTGATTGACAATGCGCTCGCCTCAGCTATGCATGCTACCAGGTGTGCAGTTAATGCTGCTACAAAGACCTCACCAGGCGCTTTGGTCTACAACAGAGATATGGTTATGGACATTCCACTCATTGCAGATTTAAAGCTTATCAGAGATAAAAAACAGCACCAAATCGATGAGAATCTTAGGAGAGAAAATGCTCGGAGAATACCCTTCAAGTATCAGGTCGGGCAACAAGCTTACATGAAACACTAKGAGCCAGACAAGCTATCCCAAAGATTACATGGTCCTTATCCCATTGTGGAAATCAATACTGCTTTGTATTATCTTTCTAAATAATTACCTCTGGATGCTCCTTTGGCCACTTTGCATAGATTGCAGGCAGTAGTACCTTTTCAAGCAACATCTTCATGTACACCTCACCATTTACATTTGCAGACTTTGTCACTTGTCCAGGTGACACCTCCCCCTGTGTGCTGCAACATAGCACACTAGGTAGATATAATACAGCAATAGGATGATGTGCACTAGGTACATAGGTAGCATCCTGTGCAGGGTCAGCCAGGGTGTAGATATGGCACCCTTGGATGACCTCAGTGCATGGGAATACAAATTTGGGGGGGGGGGGGGCTACTAGATTGGAATATGGAATTTCAAATAAAGTACTGTAAGCATTAAATAATTGCTCTGCCACCATGGGGGTTATTCTTGCCACCAATTATTTTGAAAAATCACACATTCCAGCCCAGAAACCCAGATAGTGGAAGTCAAGGGCGGGGACTTGTTATATATTCTGGGTACTTTTGGACCCACTGACAGGGTACTAGGTATCTAGTACTAGTAGGCTCCTCCAATCCTCTAGGCTTCCTCTGGGTTTTTGAGAATGGCCAATTACAAGAAACAATTAATTCCTGCACTAATCTCTTACTTCATCCATCCTGAAAAGAGTGGAACCTGTTGCCATTATTGCCATCCTGATCAGAGTGTCCCCTAGCACACTACKATGACTCACTCCTGTAGAATTGTGTACAATTAGTAGTACCATAAATATTATTTGATTAGAACATGCACTTATTCCAGTACTTCCAGGGCTACTACTACTAGTAGTACAAATCAGCCAAGACTTGCTGCAATCCAGGTGAAGCAAGTAACAATTCATGCCCTTCAGCCAAGAGTAATGTGTTCCTTGCTGCTGGAAGAGTACTTGTTTGAGGAGTCCCAGTGGGTGACCAACCTTCAATTAAGAACAATATTGGCATTTTCCTCTATTACTACGTACTATAAGTACCATTAATGTGGTAGTACACTAGTAGTAACATGACAAAGAGAAACTAGTACTAGTAGTACTACGAAGAGAATATTGCCTCTCCTTATTTCTTCTTCTTTTTGTTTCCCAGCATTAATTGAATAAGGAGAAACACAGAGAATATTTCTTGGGTAATATTCACATTATTTCTCTTTGATTAAACAGAGTGAATATAATTTTGGCACTACTCTCTTTGTTTTTACATCATGGTGAAATGGTGGGGACAGGCAGTTCCTGTTTATACAAACAAGAAGATAAAATAAAGATAATATTCTTGGTGGTGCATGAGCAACAAGAAGAATATTATCTTTGTTACTACTACTAGTGTTTCTTTAGTAGTATGTTTCAACAAAGAGAAACAAAGAAGAGAGCCTGCATCTCCTTGTTTCTCTTTGATCTGTCAATTTTTTCATAAAAAGAAGCAAAGACGATATTGCCTGGGCAATATTCTCTTTGTTTAAACATGGAAAAGACCTGCAGGGGGAAATCCTAATATTGGTTGGCGACTGTCTTCCTCAAAAACTAACGGAGGGCCCAGTAATCTACTGTTAAAAAAAACAAAATGCAGGAACCAGTCTACCAGAGGCTCCGATTTTTGTTCGGCACGAGCGTTGCTTTGCGAACCGCTACAGAAATCTCCCAAAATCTCTTCCAAAACGCCCGAAACGTCCGCCGTTTATGCCAGAAGTTTAATCGGCTACGTCATTATTCGAATGAGTACGAAAGAGAATAGGGTGTTCGAGAATTTTTGTTTCCCATATATATTTTTTAAGATGCACTTGCATGCTTTTTCAGCCACGAACCCAATGGAACAAAATCAAGGATGCGAAGGCCTTCTCTGAAAACCTGGGGATCAAGACAAAATGAAATTGCAGAATGAAGCGTTCGGATTGGTGGAAAAAAGAAAACCGCGTAAGGCAGAAATCACGCGAAAAAGTGCATTACCATCAGCCAATTGCAGAAAAATGAGGGGATCACGCTGAAGCCATTTGTCATCAAACTGACTTGATTTGCAAATGCATAGCATCGGAACCTGGACACAGCCAGGCAGGCAATCCGCAAGTTCACGACTGCGACGATAGAAATAGTCACATTGATAGATAGCACTTCAGATGCCATCTGATTAGGAGACGCAAGAATTCTTTTTGTTCATTAAATTTTTGAAATTGCACCTCTCTACTGTCGGCATAAAGTGATTTTTCCTTTTGTTTGCTTTTGCCGTCCCGTAGTTGCAACTGCCTGCCTATCATGTGTCTGTGTCAGACTAGCTCAATACCTTGCATAGAAATACTTGACGATTTTTCAACCATTCACAACAATAGAACTAAAGCCATGATGTCTCAAAAGAGCAAGACTTACTATCCAAGCAGCGTTCCCGGTGAGGAAGGAAGCAACATAACAATCCGCGAGGACGAAACGTGTTTTTTAGTTTCCATCGAGATGCCCGACATCGACGGGAAAGACCTGCAGGTCACCCTAAACAAGAACGTTCTTACCATCAGCGGGTTTCGGCGCAGTCGCTCTAATTCGTACTCCGACATCGACGAGGAGTGCGATCGAAGGAGCGCGCAAAACGCACCCACGAAGAGACAGCGGCTCGTCCGGCAGCTGGAGATCGATCCGACCGCCGTGGACATCGAGCGGGCCATGGCGAGCACATGGAACGGATGTTATACTCTCTATGCCCCCAAGCGACATCCTCAATTCAAGGGCTTGGTGCTCTGAAGGGGACGGGGATGCGCACAGGAACACACGTTCTCTACAGATGCGATGACTCATTCACAATCCGACGGTATCGTTGACCATTGCGGACGATTTCCAAATCATCCGAATCGACATAAGAAAATGGCCACATAATCGACTCGGAACCGGAACCATACCCAGCAAGGATGGATTGGTTCGAAGACTCTCATCGAACCAAGTGGCAACACATACATAAAATGGTTGCTGATGATTCATTCATTCTACGATACGCACACAAACCACTCCAAGATTTTTACATTTTTTGAACCTATTTTGCACGCTACAAATTTCACCACCATTATTACAATTTAATTTTTTGAACCATTATTTCATTGAAACCAAACAAAAATTAAGATAAACAACCAGTTTGCTTATTTGAAGAATGATATGTTATTTTTTTTTGTTTAGAAGTGGTAAAAGCAGGAGTACTCTGTTTTGTTGCCGATGATCAGTTACCTAGATATGATTTGTGTTACTGGCTCACGAGATTCTTTGATTCTTGCTGTTATCAACTCTGTTGATAGTCTACCAACTCGAAATAAATTAACTTGGGTTTGCTACTAGTACCTCCTCATGGGAAAAGAATCAGGAGGAGCAGTTTCGACTCCATGGGAACGTGTGTAACCCCTATCAATGTATATATGGATCGAAAGCTTATAACAAGACGAATATAGCCATGGTGTTCATTAACGTATACAAGATAAAATTGGCTTTAATTCGACCTTTAAAGTTTCGGTTAAGG